TTTGATCAATTTTATTCATTTTTTAGTCACGATGGCCAAAAAATTTACTATGTCAAAATTGTTTTTACAAAAAAAAGACTTTACACTTCCTAAGACATATTCCTTGTACCTTCTATGGTTTCAGATTTCATCAAACTGTCTCATTGAAAAAAAAACCCTAACATCACTAATTGATAGAGACATGGAAGAAATTAGTACTATAGAAAAGTCACATGTAGATCACGTTCTTCATGGTCATGACGTTGACGAATTTAAATTGGAAAAAATAGTCGCAGAAAATTCTTTTCATTTTTCTACATTTTTATTTTCAAAATAAAATAACATTTCAGTATTTATAAGGACATTTCTGAACGACAGGAAACAAATGGCAGTTACAACGCTATTTCTACTATTATTAACTAAAATATGCAAACTAAACTACAATTTTCAGACTTGACTGTTGTGAAATGAGCAAAGATCGAAATAGGCAAATCATATTTATCTCAACTTCTACGAGTGGAAATACCTCCCTCTGATATCCCATTGAATGATTAAAAATAAAAGGCAACAAACTCAAAACAATAACTGTTACATTTTACTTACAATTGCTAAACTTTCTTAAATAGTAAACTACCATGAGACTCTGACGTATTAACTAAAGTAAGAAATACCGCACGTATTTATATTATATTAATGCTCGCCGTGGTTCGAACTAGACCGTGGTTCGAACCAGACCGTGGTTCTTAATCACAAGCTTCCGTGGCGATAACTCAACGTTAACTAACAAACCAGACTGGTTTGAAACATATCTAGCAAAAATTAAACTCAAATACGTGATTAATTGTCCATTAGTTTAGTCAATACACACTAAATTTTCTTCTAAACACACTACCATAATTACTAGTTACAAATAAAAAATGTGGGGCAACGTACAATACAATAATTTCGGCATTTCAGAGGGTAGCATCTTTTTAAATCTGTTTAACAGTATTCTGTAACACTAGCTCACTTACACACAAAATAGCTGATCAAATAGCACGTCCAACCTGGTCGAGCTACCTCTGCCAACTGATACATGTGCGCGTGAGACCATGTATTAGATCTATTAAGAATACACTCATATATTATTACTTGAAGTTTTGGTAAATATATACTGTCTATTCCGACCTTAAGAGAGGAGAAAAATTACTAACAGTTTTCAATAAATTATAATATATTTTTAATTCTAATCGCACAGCATTTTGAAATAGTGAAAAAATACACCATTTGAAATATTTTTTTAAATTGCAAAGTTGCAATTTACGTGCAGTTTGCATAATTGCAATTTCAATGCCGTTTGTTTCTAAAAAATTGCAATCTGTTGGGCATGCAATCGCTCAAACATTGTCATCAAACTGGAGGGCGTTTCCGTTTTGTTATTCTACTACCGTTACAAACTATATTATGTTTTACTGAAAACTGTGTATAACAAAAAATATATAATATTTTTAATGATATTGTTTACTTACATGTTACATTTCGCACTAGTTATAAACACGTGATACCACCTTACAATTGCGAAAGAACCTATAATTTGATACTTCTTAAGGCCATTTCAGACACGAATTTTAAGATTTTTGTTTCTTTTTTAAAGAAACAAGTGTTTTATTTACGGTGACCTTGAATTTAAAAAGTTAACATGAATGTTCTTGGGCAAAAAAAAAAATTATACAATTGTCTATTCACTGCAAACATTCGAAAGGGTTGCTTGCAATATAAACAGTATATGATTTCATAAGAAGTAAAAATTAGATTAAAAAACTACTTAACCGGCCAATTACTGGAGCACGCACCAAACAACCCCTTCAAAGGTGCTTAATAACATGTGTACAGTCTGATTTTTAATTGGATATAGTAAATGGAAGCACTGCACTGCACAAGTGGGTTGCTAGTTACTGATGAAATAAAAACAATGTTGTCTTAAAGGATTGATTTCTTTGTCTTTAATGATTATGACGGAGTCGGTACTCGGTAGGTCATATATCTTTTATACTGATATTTTTCTAAAAAGAAAGCGCATAATGCTGTGCGGCGACTGTAGCTGTAGCCACCTGTATTTAAACCAGTTAAACGGATTGCAGAAGGTAGGTCAGATTTAAGAACCACTGTCAATTGCTTTCTTTTAGATAAATTAAAAAAAAAATGCAATGTTAATTTTTTTAATCGAGAATTTTACATTACGAAAACTATAAAAACTCAATATAAATTAAATATTATTTAGCAAATTAATGGTAAAAAAATTGTAAATTTCTTTTTAAGAAAACACATCACTATACTATAAATATATATAGCTATAGATTAAAAATCAGACTATAGTTGAGCCATAGCAACACAATAACAAAGGTCACTCATTAATAAGTTTCAAGAACTTTACTTTTAACTAATGAATTAAGTGTATTTTTTATGATACCAATAATAAACATTTTAATTAAATTTATGTAAAATATGAAAATGATTAAGTGACAACCCTTATCATAATTGGAAGCTCCCTATCAGTACTATAGGCGAATGTCGCGTGGAGCGGAACCAGGTTATGTGGCTGGTGGTGCTTCATGTGCACCTGCCACGCTTCACTTGGACACTTAAAGGCTCATTTTCTAGCACAACCAAGATAATCCAGTTATTTTAACACGTTTAGACCGGGATCAAAATGACCATATTTGATATCCGACAGAACAAATTTTACATATGGCCACCGGTGGGACATCACCGCCACATAGACAAAATGTATTGTGAGACGTGGTATCTTGTTTGTTAGCGGATTCTTTTTTCAAATAAATACTTATAATATAAACTTGATTTTTAAAATTGTTAATACAAAGATCGAACACTTAAACTTCCTTCGAACCGGCTGGATTCGAACCAACGTCTTCCAGTAAACCGTGCCGACGAACTAGCCGACTTTACGATTTTTTTTCAATATGCTATTTGCAGTTCTGTTTTTGGATTGATTAACTTACACAATATCGAACTCGATATTGCGTAAAACGGGAATCTTAAATTTAGTATTTTCTGTCAAGACGGTAAGGATTCCTGAGGTAACCACCGGTGGTATACTACGCCTGTTGAGCCGTCTGTGCTCGACCCGGGGTTCATCCCGAGGTCGAGGACATGTCAAATTAACTAATTCTCATTGGTTGTTTTTCAGCATCTCCTCTCTCTTATTATAAGAATTTTGTTTAATTATTTCTTCCATTATCACTTCTTATGTTAAAATGTAATTACAGTCATATAATCCCTCTCCTGACTATCGTAACTTTACATCTAGAGTTGTAGCTTGTGTCACACTCTATCAATAAGTTGTATTCATATATGAAAAACGTAGAAGTACTATCAGCGAAGTTGAAGGCTTACCAATTCCATTACAGGTTTCGTTCCACGTGGAGATAGCGGCCTCTTTGTTTTTTACATATTTTATATTTTTTTATTAGGCTATAATGTTCTAGTATGAACCTGGTATTTTTTTATTCATGAAATATTCTTAAAAAATACTCTTTATTTTTCCTCAAAAGTTGAAGTTTTGATCATACACCTTAATTCAGTAGGGCCGTCGATAGTACCTAGCCCTTGTTTTGTTGAAACTTTTTTGTTAAAACCGTTTGTTTATTATAAAAACATGGTCTAGCCTATTATCGTCGTCGTCGGTTGGCGAGAACAAATAAGCTGCGGGTGACCGTTGTTACCCGCTTGCAAAAAGAACCCCTAAGGTGGTAACGCATTAACTTTGCTGATGGTACATATAAAGATAGAGTCAAATCGTACGTCTTACTAAGTTACGAATAATTTGTCAGAAAAGTAGTTGGCAACGATAGGGACGACTTGCAGTTTATGACCATTACAAAAAGGAGTTAACAATTAAGTATTTTCAATTGTTTATTCAACTTGAACCAGTTTTTCGATTAACTATATTATAGAACTACAAAATGGGATTATAATTATGAACAAACGACCGTTAACGCACTCGAGAGACATTATTTTTTATTGATACAATGTTATTATTTAACAATAAATTGTCTAGATTATTTGATTTTGTGGGGCAAAGTAAAATTTTACGTTAATGTTTTAGGTTCTTTTTTTAAACAATAATTAAAAGCTTTACGATACAATTTTTAATTTAAAATTCGATATATCTCATCCTCTTGCGATTTTACATATGTATAATAAAAACAAACAAGTCGTCTTACTCCACAAAATCAGAATAAAAACGCGACAAAGCCTTACACAGGTTTTTTAGGTTGATTAATCTCATACAGTTTCTAAAGTTTCGGCATTTTTATTAATCGATAATGAGAGGAGACGGCTGTGTAACTGTGAAACCCAGTCTGAAGTTCAGATTGAAATGTCAAATTTCACGAACATTTTTATTCGAAACTTAGTCTGGGTTATGTTACACAATCAGGAAGCTAGTCGTTACGGATTTTTGTACAATTCTAAAAATAAACTTTTATCTATTTATTTAAGAATGAAAATTAAAGGGAAAATTACTAGAATTTTATTGTCTAGTGACACAAATTTCCGCATATAGCAAAAGTTTTGAATAAAAAATATTTTTTTATTTATAACAAGTTCGGTAAGATATTTCCAAACGAGTTTTAATAACATTTTACTAGTTTTCATAATAATGTTTACGTTAAAATTAACTTAAAGAATAAATAAAAAAAGTACCTTTAACGCTAAATGTACACGTTATAGTCTCCTACGCGCCGCCATGTTTTCTTTTCTTTTATTATTAAATATTTTTATTTATTAACTAATAACAATACGAATGCGAATCTCACAGAACTCATTCAGGAATTATCCCGAAAATTATTTTAAAGAAAAGTTACAGAAATCTTTCGCAGTTACTTTATCTAACCTGTGGTTTAATTATTATAAAAAGTTAAAAATCTCAATCTGTCACAATAATATTTGTGACATTGTCATAACAATAATGTCCGTGCGCGGGATTTTTATAAGCTATTTATCCCGTGCTTCACGTCGTTGATATTTTGACCAACGAACAACTTTCGAATCCCGCACCCGGTTCTATTTACGAATGCTGGTGTCCGCAGGTGAGTTCGAGTGTAAGTGTTACGTGTCGACCAATGAAAATCTACCGAGTGTACTATATAGATTTATCTTGCGCTAATCGTCGCTAGTATTTTGACTAAGGGACATCACCCGACTTGGTTCTATTTAGTAATTAAACTAATGTGGTGCCTGCATGCGACTTAAATATAATTTTACGGTTAATATGTCTAGTAAAAAATTCCTAATTTTCGCAGTCGAGTTTATCATTTAATGATAGCGGTGTCCGTTTGCGCGATTATGATATCGATTTATCCCGCGCTTCCCGTCGTTGGTAAACTTGACCCGAATCTCGTATTTGTATTTACTAATGCTGGTGCTCGGAAGAAAGTTTAATGTAATTTGCCACGGTTAGTGTATTGGCCAATGAGAATCTCCTAAATCCCGCATACGGCATATTATCGATCAATGAAAATGCTTATGTCAAAAAAAGTTTGTATTTGACTCAAAACTATATTTAGTGGAGACGTTAATCACCATTGCAGTAACTCTAACTAGTTTGCTTATGTTTATTTCTTTACAAGCGGCCTGCAAAATTTTCAATACACTTTGCTCCTATTTTTGTACAATTTAGGTATCCGGCTCTGAAACAAAGTAGAGTTAGTAGAGTGCATAGTTTACGTTTAACAATCAATGATTACGAGAGATGGTATTTGAAAGGAACAATTTTGAGGACTAAAAAAATTGATTTAAGTAAAATAGCGTACAGAGTAAACCTAATACGCATTTTTGTGACTTTAGATAGAAATTGCTCATTATTTTGACATTACGTGCGTTATTTTTGTAGTCTATCCCGCGATTCCCGCCGTTGGTATTTCGACTAACGAACATCACCCCCGCACTCGGTACTTTTTTTTAATAGGGGTTACATGGGCGAATACGGGCCGCGGAAAGGTGCTCATCAATATGAATCAGTCGACGTTTAGAAGTTTAGACTAGGATTGCAGGGGGAGAAAGAGCAGTGGGGCTCGGCCGTTCGCTCACCAGGCGGGCTGCGGCTGCGCCGGCGCGGGCAGCAGCGGTGGCGCGGGCTGCGGCGCGGGCGCGGGCGCGCCGCCCGGCTCCTTGGCGCGGCCGCGCTCCAGCTTGGACGGCGCGCCGCTCATCAGCGCCTTGATGTCCTCGGCGTCCAGCGTCTCGTACCTGCCACGGCCTTCGTTACAACAATCGCGCACCGGCGCTGCTCCCGTTTAACCAAGGTAAACAACTCTTTTATGGGGAACTGTACACGTTTTTACAATAAGATTCCGGAGCATATATTAAGTTTATCATTTCCTAAGTTTAAAAACTACATAAAAAATATTTTGATCGAAAAATCATATTACAAAATTGAAGACTACGTGTTAGATAAAGATGTATGGAAAGATGACACGGCTCCAGAATCCACACAAATTTGATTCAAAGTGTATTCCGTAGCATTTAAGTTTATTTGAAAAGAGCAATCCCTAGAGTTTCTTGCTCGTTCTTCTCAGGGAGGTCAGCGTAGTGAACGAGCAGTAGCTTAAATGTGACGATTTCAAGTGTAAATTTATTTTACCTATGGAATAAATAATCTTTGACTTTTGACTAGGCGGCAACAAACTCACTTGAGCAGGGCCTCGGCGAGCGCCTTGTGTTCCTTCGCGTGCATGCGCAGGATCGCCTTCGCGCGCTCGTAGCTCTCGTTCAAGATCTTCCTGATCTCGCCGTCGATCTGGGGCACGGAACAGTAGATACAGTACAAGTTTCGAAACACCTATCTGAGCTCAGTTCGCCGTTTTCGCTTCGTACGTCTCTCGTGCAAATTCTCTAAAATCCTAGAAAAATGTCTTATTGAGCCGTTTTGGAGTGGAAGAATGATAGCCGCACCAAAAATATCTCCCGTGTCTTATTTTAATACATTTTCAAATTTCTGTCAGTCGAAATATTTTTTTGTGGAAGAAAGAAGTAAGACAAGGAACGAAAGTAAAAATTAGACCCTCGCAATATAGTCGCTTCTTTTTTTTTGAGAACTCAATAACTTCAATTCGTCGTCGTTCAGCAATTAACCGCTAGAGGGCAGCACATAGATTGAAATTTCAATATAATATCAAAACGTTGCAACTTGCAATAATAGGTATTGATGGTATTAACTTTCAACGATATGCCAACAGAATAAAATTCAAATTATATTAACAATCCAGAATTTGTAGTGTTTCAAATTAAAAATGTGTAAGTTTTGACGACATCGGTTCTGACAACAATCGAGGCTTAAGGCGCTTCAATTGCTTTTATTTCTTTCGTGATCTGGAACAACGTAGCCGCAAATCATTGCACGAAATAATTCCTCCAAACCACTCTATCATCACGGGACTACATGTAGGTTGGGCTTCGAACCGTTGTGTTGTGGATGTATCAAAGATTCGCACTAATTGGAGTATAATTCTACTTTATATCTTTTAATGTAAACACATACTTCTGTGTGTTCCAACTCCACGGAACAACTGCCAAAGTATCTACTGCCTATACACTAGCCAAATTCGACATAAAATGTCTATTAACAAAACGATGCATGGCAACCAATGACAGCAAAGGAAAACAAAATTGATTGCCAATGTCATTGACTTACAATTATATGGACGTCGGGTCCGCGCTAAAAAGTGTCCGAACTTCTAGGGCGTTAAAATCGTATACAGAGCGTCATTCACGCTTTAGTCTTCGTTTGTTCGACTGACAGCGAAGCAAGCAAAATTAGACAGTACTGCGATGACATTACAATTTAAATTTAACGTTTTCGCTTTTTCATATTCCTTTACATGGGACATTTTTTTCGTGGTTTTTGTATTAGACCCGTCGTCCATTTATTTGTAAGTCAATGGCCAATGTTCATTATTTAGGCTAATTCTGTCCACGGCTTGTTCACGTAATTAGAATTTAAATAAGAAGTAAGTAAATGGGTCACATCTATGTCTTACTTTCTCAAACTCGTATCTCATAAAGAGTAATTATTCAAGAGGTGGAAAAACGTTCTATTTATTTTAAATTTCTTATCCAGGGTGTTAATTTGGATGGATGAGTAACACTTTAAGAATATGTAAAAGCCAGTGTGTGAATACGAAGGAAATGTGATCTGAAATCAGCCTGCAAAATTTGTATATACAATCCATTTCTTGCATTTCAGTAGCTCTGTGTTTTAATATACGAGTTTAAGAAAGTAAAGCGACGATATAGAAGTAATGTTTACAAGCCCACCGTACCTATTTCTGCCGCCAAGCAGTGATGTGAGCATTACTGCTGCGGTTTTGGAGGGTAAGGGTGCTGATGTAATTACAGGCACATGGGACTTCACAACTGCGTCTCAAAGTGACGAACGCAGCGATATTGCCCCTCAGTTCTTTGCGATTTAAAGCTCTGAGTGGCACTGCGACTGTTATGAATAGGCGTGTCGCTTACATACATAAAAAATATGCCGAATTTGGCGAGAATATAGTTTGGTTACAAAGATTCTGCAAATGATGAGAATGTAAATTGAGTGTAAGGGAGTTTAGGGCTTCGTTGTTAGGGCGCGTTCCCCTATGTCGTCACGTTTTATTATCGTTAGACGACTGTCGTGTCTAGCCTGTTCCCATATCACGACTATCTGTCGTGGACGATTTTTTATCGTTGAACGACTGTCGTGACTAAGCTGTTCCCACTAGATCGTGACGACAATTTATTGTTTCACGACAGCCTCCTTGTCGTTTGCACGACAGAATCGTATGATGCACTGCAGTCGCTTATATGTTCTTTTGGAAGCCGTTAGTGTGTGTTCGCTCGAAATGGATGACGACGAAATATTAATAATATATTACTTTTAAAAATGCGGAAGAGGAAGCACACAAAGAAAAGAAAATACAACGTGACGACAATAGGAGCTGCGACAATCTGTCGTCACGTTTTTATCGTGACTTTTTTTATCGTCTGACGACTGTCGTTCTAGCTGTTCCCACTGTGACGACAGTTTGTTGTAACGATAAAAAATCGTGAACGACAATTAATCGTGTCGTGCTATATGTGAACAACTTCATTTAAATATACAAGCCAGGACACTGTAAACTGCACGACAATCTGTCGTCACGACATAGTGGGAACGCGCTCTTACACACGTCTGATTACGACGTCTTCCATCAACGTTAAGTTAGATATTAAAGACCTTTCACCGGGCTTACTATTGCCAGCTGTTCAGGGTATCATGTGATTTTGAACAAGAAGGAATGTACAGTGCTTCTATTTTCGCAATGTCTCTCGGCCAACTTCGTGTTCCGGCTGTCGTGGGGTCTTTGCCTTTGGCTTTTAGTCGACTTGGAAGTATAGTTGCTATAACATTTTTTATTTACTGTCCAATATGGCAATATGGGATTTCGTCTCTGTTTCTGGTTCTAACTCGACGGTAGAGCACTCACCACCTCGTTGGTGTTGGGCCCCAGCTGGTCGGGGTTGTTGAGCGAGTTCCTCGGCACGTCCAGGGTGCGCAGCCCCACCTTCTCGCTCATGCCCCACTCGCGCACCATGTGGCTGGCGATGGACGTGGCCTGCTTCAGGTCCGACGACGCGCCTGCGGGGCGGATCTCACGCTTAGGAAAGGCGTAATGGTGCATTGCGTACCGTCCGTGATACGTACAATGTTTTTCACCACATTTGCGAGGAAATAAAAAAAATAATAATAACGCACACACTCAACATAGCCCTGCACTACAACACATAGACAACCACAAATTACACCCAAACTCACGAGAGAAATAATTGTAGGCCATACAAATATTTCTCCCGGCCCGGGAATCGAACCTGGGACCTCTGCGTGGCAGTCCGGCGTGGTAACCGTTTGGCCACGGAGGCAGTTAAATAAACACAATGTTTATTTCTTGTACGAATAAATATGGTTCACAACACAATAATTATACATTTTGCAAATGGCGATTTGTTTTTTGTTTTTTACCAACATAATACAACTTGAACTACAATGTTGCAAACAGCATAGATGTATACAGCCATTATGGATTGTAACTAAATAAAAATTTGCTAAACAATTATAAAAAAATCTTAACAATTACGTATTTAAATAGCATGTATGTATTATTGAAATTGAACCTGATCCTATCTGAGAAAAAATGTGCTACAAATTAAAAAATCCTTACCAACCATGGCCGTAATGGAAAGAAAATAGGGCCGAGGGTTTTAGTTTTAGACTTTAGAGTCAAGTTAACCACCATGCCATCATACTATTTACGAGCAGGTGTGATGAAAAAACACTAACAAAAAATAAATACATGCCTGAGGTAATCTTGTCAGGTCCGAAGATGAGTTCCTCAGCGGCGCGACCACCCATCATTGTGTCCATCATCGCCAGCAGCTGCTGCTTCGTCACGTGATACCTGAACAATAGCATTCTCACAAAAGCCTATTCTTCAGTGTTAATGTTGCTAAAGCAAATTTTTTTGATTAATTCTCTAAACAACAAAATCTCGCTATAAATATAGCTAACCAGTGGCCGTAGCATGGCATGCAATTTGTGACAAAACCCCTGATAAACCTCCTCGTGACATATTTATTTCAATTGACAAGCCATGTTGCCATTATTAAATATTTTTTTATTGCGAATACTCTTACATATCTTTCGTTTATTTAGTAACTAACAAGTAAAAAATTATTGTTATACATTTTGAAGAACAAGGATGACGATATGAAATTGCGCATATAGCTATCTTTGTCGTTTGATCATTGTCACGAAAACGATAAAAGGTTTTTGTACTTTTATTTTTACATATTTTACATTAAATTCGTTATTATGGCAATCATCGAATTGCCGAATGCTGAATATTAATTTCCATG